GTATGAGAGTGAGCCTCTAGTAGATCCTCACGAGTGAGTAAGGATGGCAGTGGGGCGAGGCGGATGTAGGGTGGAGCGGGTTTAAGGTTGTGCGGGGCGGGTTGAAGTGGGTTTTTTAAAACTAATGCAGGGCGGGGCGGGTCACAGGTATATGTGATTTTATGTGGGATTAAATTTTATTTTATTTTTTTACATGTTATAAGAGTGATAGAACATTATTTATTAAGATAATTTCTTTAAAGCTACTAAAAAATTATTAAGATAGTAAATGAAAATGGTTCAATAAAAAATAATTCAGTTTCTTACCTGTTTCCCAATTGACCTCTACAAAATAAAATTTTTAGTCACTATCCTATTAAATACAACTTAATGAAAAAATGAATTTATTTTTATTAATTTTATTTTTAGTATCAAATTTAACTAGAAAAAGAAAATATTAAAAAAATTATGCGGAGCGGAATGTGGCGGGTTGAGAATGGAAAAAAATATTATGTGAGGTGGGACGGGGAGAATTAAAAATTTACGGATTAAGCTCAATCCCCCCACACCGCCCCATTGCTATCCCTACGAGTGAACGTTACAGGTCTATATATGTGACAGTAGTGGGGTTAAAATGAGTAGTAAATGATTTAATTGAGTGTGTTGGACGTAGGTCATGCAGAGATGCCCTAGAGGATGGTGCCAAAAGAAAAGAAGTTTCTATGTGTGGATCATTTTCATCCCAAAAATTATTACTGGGTCAATAATACTATTGCTTCTTTTCGTCGATTGGGTTATTGATGTGCCTATTTTAATTCATTAAAAATTAACTTGTTATGTAGTTTAAATTGACTAATGATAAATTTTGGGGTTATGTATAGTTATAATAAAAAAATAAAATTATTAGGTACTAAATTTTAAAAAAAATAATTAAAACTTAGATGAATTGAGATATGGCCAATTGACCCGTTTTGATCCAAACAAATTTTAGTTAGATTAAGTCATGATCCGGTTATTGTCTTAACTCGTCTTATCACCCCTAAGTTGAATTATCAAAAAGAATTAGAAGCACTTTAGATTGATCAGCAATAACATACGTTGAATTTTATATGAACAATATTTGTGAGCTTATTATTGTCACAATTCGACATTTAGGTAATTTTTAGGGTAGAACTGTGGTGACTTTAATAACTAAGGTCTTACCTTCATGTCCCAATTGAATATTTATTTTTTAAGTTATGTCGGCTAGTAAGGTAGTCCACGTGGGCAGAATAGAAATAGTTGAGTCAAAATAAAACCTGAACAATGTAGTGGCTGGAGGTAATAAAGGTCTAAGGAAAAATGCCACGCACCACACTTTTTTATTTAATAGAAAATTTTAGAAATAACAAATATAATAAACATAATAACGTTCTAGCTATTATTTTCATAATTGTGCTTCATAGCTATAGTTTTGTTTGCTATGAAGGCTGCGGTTTGTATATTTCTGTCCGTTTATATATTTCACTTCCAAATATACAAATACGGTAAGTATATAAAAATTCTATATTTATACATTTAGGAATTTTTCAGAACTCCGTTTAAATATATCGTTTTCCAATATACAAACAAGGTAATTAATTCATAAATCATATACAAATAGTTAGGGTAAGCATATACAAAATTCTGGATTTATACAATTAATAACCGAATTATACAAATTCTGAATATATACAAATCAGGCGGATTATACAAATAAGGCGAATAGCAAGAAGTAAGAAAATTGTAGCCGGGAATTACAATTTTCTTAAACTGTAGCTATAGTATCTAATATAGGCAAAATGTTTGTTATTCTGCCTTTTTTTTCCACTTGAGGTTCAAACTGACTAAATCTGAATGACACATTGCATATCCATTTCAGAGTGACACTCTCAACAAAATTTTCTTTATATCTAAATCTTGGATTCAAAATCTCTAATTAAGGATGAAACGGTTCCACACAACCTATATTGGTTGCCCCGCACCACACATTGCATGCGCAAATAAGACGGAATTCAGGTAGTAAGAAGTGGGATTTAATTTGTCAATGTCAGGCTGAAGGGGTTAGATGTGGCCAAGGCACAAAAGGGGACTATAGGATTTACTGACATGGATAAATTTGATGCTTAAACAACCTTATTAATGTTCAATGTAACTTCATATATAGAGCATGAAAGCAGAGGCTTAATTATCGGAATATCCCAACTCCACAAATCGTGATCAGACAATAGAAACCTCATATAATTAGTGTCATGAGATACGTACGTAACAGAAATTTTCATGATTAATGGAATAATACAAAGCCTTGAATTGAAAGCACACCCTTGTTTTCAAATGATTGAACTTGTCGTTTATATGCAGATTGGAACTAAACTTATCGTCTTTGGACGTTGCATGGCGCTTATCTTTCACTCTGCTACTAAACCTAAGGGAATTGGGTAGAGCAAGTTTAAAATCCTTATTGATAACAATTAGAGAATCATTTAAAAAGAAAGTACTCTATAATTTCTTATAACTCGACAAGTACTGTAACTTGAGGTGATACGTGAGCTTTATATGACAAGTCATTGACATATAAATTCATAATTAAATGTCCCAAATGATACCTAACGAGGGGAATAGTGGGTGGTCAGTATGTGATGGATACTCATAATTTAGAGCTGTAATTGTGATAGATGTGACAGAGGCTACCGCAATTTATTAGCCACCAAGTACCACTCAATACCTAACAAAAGAAAACAGTACTTTGTTTAGTAATAGTAGCTCTTAAAAGGAATCTTATCCCATCCATATCTTGTTTCACATCATGAAATTTAATGTTTTGCTTGTTGAAACACACTAATTGAGAAATATGTCATATAGTAATAAATTGAGAGGTAGAAAATAATAAGTTCTTTCGTAATACATGGTAATCGGTCTGTCTTCAAAAAATATATAAGACGAACATACCGTTAGAGAGGCAAACTCAGGTGAAAGGTTGACGTGCATGTGCACCTATTAACTTTAATTTTCTTTTATGTATATATACCTTGAAGAATTACTATATATATTAAAAGAATCTCTTAAACATATATGTTGGACAGGGTCATTTGGTTAGAGTGCCCCAGGCCTTCGAGCGCTGGCGCATAACCCGAATTCAAATATGAGTTACTTCATTTTCGGTTTTACCAGACAATTAAAAGAAATTCATAAAAAGTGTAGGTGACAAACCATCGCTATGTGGAGCTATCTTATCCAATTATGACATTTAATTTATATTTATACGTCTCAATTTTGTGGGTGTTTAATAAAACTTTTAGATGAGATAGTATTGTTTGACATCGCTTCAACTAATGTACATCCATCTTGTTGTCTTCAAATATCGGATCCACCTCGGCTCGTACCAACTAGAAATGACCCGCACAATCATAGATAAGTTAGCCAGAGCTATGTGACCCTAGTTTTGTGACAATGACTGATCTTAAGTCGTAATTTATTGATCGGACAAGAAGTGTATCGTATATATGGTTCGTACACAAATGAGTAATAAAAGTCGGTGTTCCATTTTTTTTTTGCTCTGTTCTCGACCAGGGATTTGACCCCGACTGTCATCCAAAACTTGAGACCCGACCCTAACTTGGGACCAGAGACCTGACCCTTGACCCAAGACCGATCCCGACCCAAACCCCTTCCCTGACCTCGACTTAAGACCCGAACCCCTGGCCCGATCCCACAACCCTCGATCTCTACTGTTAAGCATATATTTTAGCAAGTTCAAAACAGCATAAAGTTTTAGGCAAGAAAACAGAAAGCGGAAAACACACACACAAGACACAACTAATTGAAAAAAATAATAGCATGGTAGGTCCAATATACAGCTGGTTTCTTTGGAGTGTGCGAGCTAATGAGTCCCTGAAAACAACCAAATAGAGTTAAATGTCACGTTATCAGTCTTCAACTAAGTACACATGCGGTACTTGATAACTTGCACGTGTTTTTGCACTACTTACTCATAATCTTGCTATGCCAAGCCAGTCGACGACACTAGGAATATCAAGAAAACTGTAGAGAGAAGTCATGGGAAGAATTGTGTTGTAGAGAATTGTCATTGAACTTTGCTTAATATTTTTACAAATGAATATCCTTCTAATTATAATTTTTCACTACTCATCAGGAGCTAATATGCAAATATTATTACACAAATCCTACATATTTACAAATAATATTCTAGAATTTTCCAAGAAACTCTCCGTTAATCTAGAATCTTCCCACAAATGTTGGTATACTTATCATGTAAACTTCCAGATAGACAGCGATATGCCACATGGTGCCTAAGAAGCATAAGGACGTGACGGCTCATCACACTAAAGCACTACTTGTTGAGCTAGACTCTCATGGAAACAAAATTAAGATTTTTCTTACTAGGCATTAATTTGGACATAGATCTTGCTTAAATTTGAAAAAGAGTTTGCTAAACTAAGATGCTTAAAAAATGACATTTGAAAATTGAAGTTGTGATTGATAACTCCCTCAATTTTTATCGTCCGGATATTCAGGAGTTGAGACCATTCTAGAGCTCCATTCACAACCTTAAAGGTTCATTTTGCCTAGTTATTTAAGATACAGTAATGGATGACTCATTGGCGAAGAATTGGTAAGAATCCCAAAGCGATCAGGCAGAGTCAGGACTTCATTCCCGTTTGTGGTGCAAGTCAATTTTCTGTTCATCTATCAGCTCAGTCTGATAGACTTTGGTGGTTAATTACTATAGTAGTAAGAGAGAGCTGGAATTTAGATGTTCTCAAATGGTTTTAATTTCAGCATTTGCTTGTTTCATGTCATATGACATTGTCTTGTCGCCAGGAAGCTTCATTATTAAGACCAGCCATTAACACAACTTGCAAGTCTCACAAACACACACACAATAACTACAAGCAGTTCACAGCTTGATTGAGCTGACTGTTGCAACTAGTGACTGGTGGTAGATCATACCAACATTTTTTTTTTCTGCAAGGATGTTTGACACATAAAGGACTTCAACTTTTGAGATGAGGAAAACAAGCATGGAGATCAGATTTTGGGTGCTTTGCTTCAGCATGTTCCTTACACTTCACCTCTGATGTTGTGCACATAAATGTCTGCATACACACCTTGCACTGCCATCATTTACAAAACAGACGAGTTAACCAAGAACCAAAGCAAAGTTTTATGAATGAATTTGCAAGGCCTCAAACCGCAACCTAACTGATGGCTAAGAAAAATCTTCTAGCATTAGTCATGAGCTATAACAAATTGTTATAAACAGGCCTGCTAGCTAATAACTGGGAATCATGGAAATAGAACTTCCTAATCCACTCTATATCCAACTTGGGAATTAAGTTTCAAGAACAAGTTACTCATGTAACTAGTCCCTCATCTGCCAACAGTTGGACAACAGAAATGATATCACTACCTCCTACTGTTAAGGGTCATAAAAGTATGCCCAAAAAAAAAGAAGAGTATAGGTGGTCCATCACCGTCCATGTCATATTTTGCTTAATGAATATACAGAAAGACAGTAGTAGTACATCAAGAATTTTAGTCACTATAACATCATAAAACATAATCAAAACGCTCCATTGAAATTGAGCTATATCAAGTTAAAAGTATTCTGATGGTAATACAGACTCCGCACACTCTTTTAAAACCAAGAGGCCAAAACAGTTAAGCAAAACCAATAGGAAAGCTGACCTAGCCAAAACAAATTGGCCTATATTACAGTAAACTGTCGATTGACTTTGAATAGATTCAAATTAGCCCTCTCAATAAGTTTTAGGCAAGGAGTAGTTCACAATTTGACAAAACATAAGCTTATTGAAAGATTTTTATAAAGTCTGAACCTTCAAACTAGATCACTTCAAATTTTATCTTCCAATATTCAGCAAAACACAATGGAGGGAAGGAACTGGCTAATGTTTGTTTTCTCTTAAAATCAGGTATAAGTTAGCCTATATTTATAAAAAAGCTCACTGTGGAATACAAATAAATCAATGAGCACATATCTCAATGCTAGGGGGGGATTAGATTGTAAAAATCTCTTGTATGTTTTTTTTTATGACCGTGGTGTCCGGACTAGCTTTCGCGCACCTCGACTAATTGCACGGGATACCTGTCACCTCCCACCAACATCAGATACCAGGTAACTCTATCCACAAAGGCGAGGACAGATGAAAAGAATTATCTAGTGTTATTTATCTCCGCTGAGTTTTGAACCTAAGACTTTAGGGTTATTAACTACTTCAATGACCACTAGGTCACACCCTTGAGTGGCTATTGTATGTGCTAGTGCTACTATCGGGCAGGCAAAAAAATGTTTGTAAATTAGCAAGCAATCAATTATCAACTACTCATTCCCGAACAATATGTTCGAGATTTAAAAATAGAAATACTTCTAACACACTAGAAGTAAAATTTAAGCACTTTGACATTCCGAAACCGCAAACACAAAAGGTAGAATAGGAAAAATGCAAAAAACACACGACTAACAGGATACAACATTCAGTCATTCACCATATATGCCTCCCTATTCTGATTCTATCACTAAATAGGGTCCATACCCCTAGTTATCCTATTTTATGAGTCTTCTACCTATTTTTTATTTTTTTTTATTGCAGTAATATTTGTACCCATTTTCTTGCAAGCACCTCAACTAATCCACTGAGTACGTGCAACTGGCACGGGTATCGCAGCACCATATAGCCCTGCCGACCAAGACTAGGCTGCTATGTTGCTTGGACACAAGTGCGCGTATCCAAGACGGGTGTGGATCTGAGAGTCGGATTTGGCAAAATATAAATTTTAAGATTCGGGGGTACGAAACTGAGTATGGACACGGGTAAGGGGATTCCGCTAAAATGTTCAACATTATAAAAATAGATTTATAAAGATAGTCTAAATTTGAGAGATATTTTGTAGAATTCAATTTGGAGTCAAATGTGACAATAGTTATCCTAGTCTTATCTCCTAACTAATTATAAAGCTAAAAAAATTATGTGCAAATGATGATTATTAAGATTTGCTGTCCAAGCCATTAAGGATTTTTACACTACATAATAGTCCAACAAAGTCCACAACACTGATTATACAAAGAGTAGGCCCATGAAAGGCAAAATGTCATTAGAAGTGGTTAGGCCCAAATGTTTAGTTGCAACCCATAAAAGTAAACAAGAAATTTAAAAATCTCTGCAAAACCCTAGTTTATATATTTTATTTCATCTTCCTCGCTAGTCGCCACTGCCTCTAAGAAAACAACAAGACCTCATCAGTCAACCCTAGCTCATCGTCGAGTTTTTCAAATTCTCAACACCCCCACCCCACCCAAAAAAAATTTGTTCTCGACTCAGGTCAAAGTATCCAGATGGCATTGACCAAATCTGGCACGCACCGCACACCCGTGTCGCGTTCGGCAGCCAAAACGAAGAGTCTGTGCAACATGGCTAGGCTGATAAGAAGGATTCAACCCCTTTTTGTGTAGAGGGAAAGAATTCACCAATTGTCACCTCCATTGGACAATGAATCTTGATATCCAAAGTTGTTACTACAACTCTTCAACTGCTAAGCCACCATCGTCAAGGGAAATAATTATATCCAATTAATAGCCATAAATGCCCCAATGATGGATACATTTTCAAAACTGAATATATGTGCAATTTCTTCATTACTTCCAACTTCAGTTGGAAGGGGAAGTGCTGGCAATTCAGTCTATCAATATGTATATTACCCATTAACTTAAGTACTCCTTTCATCATATATTTATAAGACACTCTAGAAAAAATTGAAGAGATGCTTCATATTCCATCTTATAGAAGATGGAGTGAATCATTTTTATTTACATTGCCCTGTGGCAGCAGGCATTTGGTCCATGTATTTTGCAGTTTTTGGCATCAGCTGGTCAACACCACTCACCCTAGAAAAAGCATTTGAAAGTTGGAACTTAAGAGAAGTGGATAGATCCATCAAGAAAATCTTGTAAATGGTACCAGCTGTATATTCTGTTGTATATGGATGGAAAGGAACAGTGGGTGTTATGATCAGACTTCAATTCCAAAGTGCACCTTGAAATCTAAAAGTTTGATGAATCATTTTAGTTGGAGCAACCTTTCCCCTGTAAATGATGTAATTCCCCTTTTAGATTCCATTAGCTCCCTCTCAATGGTTTAACAACCTTGAGTTTTTGCTTTAGGTTATAACTCCCAGACCCTGACTATTTTTTGTTGTACAGGGGTTATCACCTATTTCTCTCTGTAAATTCTTGCATCTTCTAGATGCTTTTGTAATACAACCTCTTAAGTCATTCAAAAAAAAAAAGAAGGAAAGAAGAAATGTTTGATACAATTCGCAAATTTCATGAATTCAAATTCATTAGACTATTCATACTTTCAATTTTCACATAATGCTTTTTATATTAAGCTTAAATTTGCTAGCATTACAATAATATTTTCTTCCAGAACTACTAAGATATGTCAGTCAACTTAACATATTAAATTATGTATTCAATCAAATTCCTCATAAACTAAAATATTGAGTAAGAAGAGAACTCCCTTCAATGTCCTACCAGCAGTCTTGTTACCCTTCTTTATGCATCTATTCTCACTTACGTAGTTACATAAGTTCCTTAACAATGATTGTATCTCCATTAAGTGGAACTTTTCCTAGTTAACACTGGTTTTCAATTGCCAATCTCTTTTTGCCCTAACTACTTTTTAGTTTCAAAATTTTCAGATTCAAACTTTTGGAAACTAGTATCTCCACCTAGGTACAAACAGAAATTCAGTTTTTCATTTTTTAGATAATTCAACACAATACAACTCTTTCAGAAAAACAGTTAATGAACCTTGTCCCTTCAAATAACTCTAAAACTCTAAGCTTCAGAAGTAACTGCAACAACAAAATGGGGTCTCAGAATTAGACCTAGACCAAGTTCCAACAAAGGGGTAAAGAAGAAGTCCAAGTTGCAGCTATACATAAGAGTGTTCTGAAGGACAATTCAAGAGGGGGGAACGGACACACAAAAGTTATTGGAAAGAAACAAGGTAGCTAACTCTTTCTCCTTTTACTTCAAAAAACATCACTACAATGCAGACATCAACTGCCGTTCATTTTACTTCAAAAGAAACTTTTTTTGAGAAAGTACTCCTAACAGAAATGTTAACAACAAATTGAGGAGAGTTCCCTTACATCCCACATAAGGAGCAAAAGAAAAGAGTGAAGAGAACTAGGAAGAAATACTAAATGAAAATAGGGACTAGGGAGTTTTGAGATTTTAATTTGGGCATTATAGAAGTTTGACGCACAAAATTAAAAGATTATCATTCATTCATGCATATTACAGACAATTATCAACCACTCAAACAAGAGTAATTCTCTATGTATGTGCTATTTGTACAGCTATCAGGTAACTATGTCCACTAAGGCTTAGGCAATAAATAATTTTTCACCTTCTCCTATAGAGTTATAGGGGATGAACTCACGTAATGTCACCTCTGTTGGATACAAATCTTGATATCCAAGGCTGTTACACAACTCTTCAACCACTAAGACACCCCCACCCCCGGAGGAAAATCTATCCTAATATTATTATTATTATTATTATTATTATTATTATTATTAATAGCCTACAAACGTAAACTTTTTCAAAACTGAACATATTTGCAACTTCATTACTATCCAGGTCAAGTGGGACGGGGAAGTGTTGGTCATTCTTTCAACAAATGACTGATACCAAGTCAATTTATATACAACTTCCGCAAATTTCATGAATTCAAATTTATTCAATTACTAAACAATTTAATTATTATGTGATATACTTCCCATCAAAACTTAAATTTGCAACAATACTGCAATATTTTACTGCAAAAGAATGAAATTGAACACATTACCTGGATATTCATGGCCTTTTTGTTCGTATCGAGCTGACTTCCTGCGACGATTTAACAAGTCAATATAAAATAGAGCTCAAATATTTATCTAAGAGGTTTTCTACCAACACTGAGATCTGGATTGCAGAGAAATAGATTTTGATCGTGTAGATGGAAAAACAGAGAATACCTTTAGCACCCTTCAGCTTCTCCACATTCCTCTCCCGAGCCATCTTCGCTTTCTGACCGTTGCCTCCACCCATGATTTGCCTGAGACTCAGAGGTCGGAAACAGAAAACCCTAGGGCTCCTTTCTAATTCGGCGCTAAAGCGTGGCGGGGAATGCCAGCTGAACTGATGGGTTAGCGTCTTTACCAGGAATTTTTTTTTAGCTTAAATTAAAGGTTGTTTGGTTTGAAAACTAAGTTACGATAAGATTAGTTATGATATGATAAGTTATGTTGATATTATTTCATAAATTGTTTGGTTTGTTGTATTTAAAATAATATATTTGGTACAAATTGTTTATTTACAAAATTACCTTTTACTTGATTTAGTTTTTTTTTTGTTTTTTTCAAGTTTTAATTATTCATTTTTAAAAATAAAAATTTTCATCTTATTTAGCTTAAATATTTTTGTGTGTACGTACTCACATGATAGTACATATATATTTAAACATAAAACTATTTTTTTATTTAGTTTAAAAATAGAATTTTTATCCCAAATTTGTTAAAGTAAAAGAGGAATTATGAGAAATCAAAAAATAAATAAACATAAGAATTAGTCAAATAAATTCATAAATAAAAATTATATTTATATAATGTAATTTTTTAATAAAAAATATAAAAAATTATCATAAAAATAAGAAGCATTGACCAAAATAAGCTATTTTAAAAACCAATTCACCAAACTAATACGCTTTTTAATTTTTTTACAAAAGTAGTATAAACGTACTTCATGGTAACGTTTTAGGTTATTTTTATTTTAAAAATTCAACTGACAAAAACTGACGGAACTGACGACGTTAAATGAATAAACGTTACTGTAAGTAACGTTTTAGGTGTAAAACGTTACTCCCAATAACGTTTATTGAGAATCCAATCACGTCAACCCTGCAAATGCAGAATCAAATCCTGCAAATTTAAAACGTTACTATGAATAACGTTTTACACCTAAAACGTCACTCACAGTAACGTTTTACACCTAAAACGTTACTATGAGTAACGTTTACTAAGAATCCAATCACGGGTCTTCAACTCCTGCAAAATTAGAATAAGTCAAGTTTATCATATTATGTTAAGTTCTTACTATAGCTTTAAAATTATTTTTCTAATTTATTAATATTATTTTAAAAAATCTCTTAATAATATGATACACTTGACTTATTACCTAATAAAGTTTTGTGAATATTATTTTAACAATGGGCAACACAAGTAAAAGTTTTGTTGAATATTGTTGGAATATGCAAAACATTCCTTACAGCAACATTTATTTTACAATCACATGTGGTCAATTTAAAAAATGAAGGAAGACTTTAACAGAGTGTCGTAACTGACAGTCACGTTTTTGAGGTAAAACGTTACTATGAGTAACGTTTTATAGCTAAATTTGCAGGAGTCAAAGGATTCTTACACCTAAAACGTTACTGTGAGTAACGTTTTAAACCTAAAACGTTACTATGAGTAACATTTTAAATTTGCAGGATTTGATTCTGCATTTGCAGGGTTGACATGATTGGATTTTCAATAAACGTTATTGTGAGTAACGTTTTACACGTAAAACGTTACTCACAGTAACGTTTATTCATTTAACGTCGTCAGTTCCGTCAGTTTTTGTCAGTTGAATTTTTAAAATAAAAATAACCTAAAACGTTACCATGAAGTACGTTTATACTACTTTTGTAAAAAATTTAAAAAGCGTATTAGTTTGGTGAATTGGTTTTTTAAATAGCTTATTTTGGTCAAAACTTCTAAAAATAAGGAGTAGTGAATATTATTACACATGGTATTCAACATATTGTAGGGAGGGTGGAGGATGGGGGAATCGGGAGGACATGTACTAATATTTTTATTTAGTGAAAAATCAAATTTATAATAAAATTTATATTGTAAATTTGTATTACATAAAATTTTTTTTTAGTAATAAGTCCCTTTTTTTTTTGCAAAAGAATTATTTAAGATTAAGGAGGTTGAAGACTTTCAAAAATAGTTATACATATGTGAAAAATGAGGTTTAAATATAGTTTAAAGGGATATATTTGTCATTTATGTACTTTATCCTGGGATAAGTTATCCCGGAATTACTATACCATTATTATTACTCATGGGATGAGATTAAATGCTACTTAAAATTTATGTCGGGATTAACTCTCCTTATCCATCACTCCAAACGATCCCTTATTATCTCATTGTAATAAAATACTCATATTAATCATAATTCTTAAAATAAAAATAAATAAATATAATTTAAAAATGATAATTACAGAAATATACATAATCTAGCTTACATTACAAAAATATAACTCAAAATTTACATTACAACTTTTTTTTTATCTAAAGTCACAATCGGTATACAATATTATACAACCCGTATATAACAACATATAATTTTTTCATGTCCATGTAACAAAAATATTTAAAAACTTGGTATACACTATTAAACACACAATATACGATATTATATAAAATTATAAGAGATATTTATACATTCATATAAAATATTATTCATTAATATACAAAAAATTGACTGTCTTCTTTCTTACATCCAAACATTATATTCATTCAAAAACACCTCAAAAATTGCACTAAATCGCCCAAAATTTCATATTTAGGCTCCTCAATACGTAATCGATCTTTTGCAACAATATTCACTCGAAATGAAGCATAATTACAAAAAATCCATTTTTAAATGTTGAAAACTTCGAGTGGCCTTTCAAAAGGGGAAAAAGTATGATAGACCCCTCAACTTTCAAATTCAAAAGGAAAAAGAATATGATATATTCCTCAATTTTGTCATTTATAATTGATATATCGTTGCTATTATAGTTCTATTGATACAAAAGTTTGCTCATATATATCCTGGCGTTATAAAAGTGGCTTACATATACCCTTTTTCATCTAAAGGAAGTGAAAAATTTAATTTTAAAAAAAATTCATGTTCGGATATAAATTATCATCCTAGCTAAGTTCTGGGATATGTTTGAACCCTTTCATACATGAATTATTTTGTGACTTCTTCTATTATCATTATTTGAGTTTCTTATTCTTGTGTCTTTTTTTTTTATTCTTTAATGTAAAAATAAGAGAGAAAGAAGTGTGAATGAAAAAGGAAAAAAAAAGTAAGAAACAATTAAATTAAAACTTACCTTTTTTCCGGCTATATTGTAATCTAAATTTCTTTTTGCGGCTATATTGTAATTTAGTTTTTGTATTTTTTAAAAAAGTTAGGGCATCTACAATAAATTGTACAAGAAAATTAGTGCCAAAATAAATTTAATGATAAAAAAATAAATTTAATTTAGCCATTGAATCAAAGAAGTCAAAATAAAAGTACGTGTGAGAAAGATCAAATATATACCCTTAAATGAATTATTATTTTTTTAAAATGATTTTTTTCATGTCCGTTAGAGGAAAAGGATATGTGTAAGCCATTTGTGTAACAGTAGAGGTATATATGACTCATTTTCATAACGAGGGGTATATAAGTTCTAAATATCAAAGTTGAAAGGAGGGGTATGAAATGAAGTTGAAGTTTTATTTGATATGCGATTTTGACTTTTTATGTTGCATATTTTCTCATAAACATAAAATCTCCATAAGTTGTAAAATCGTTAAAATTGTCTCAATTATTTATACAATCTTACCAAATAAGTAAAGTTTATAAATCACACAATACACTATCACACAAAATATTCTTGAAAATACAATATTTATTGATCAAACTTTAATTCAATTAAAAAAATTAAACGTCTCTCACATAGTACGAACAATCTTCTCACGTTAAATTTGCATTTCTCATTCATATGACTGAGAAGACGAACCAACATTGTTATATAACTGTATTGATATATATATATACTCTTATAGTATCATTGACCAATGAGTAATTTCTGAACAAGAAACCTTAATAATATCAATACAACATATATATATTGATTTAGTATCAATTAAACGAAATTATCAGTTTTAATGATACCGATACAAAATATGATACTTATTTAGTATTAGTTAAGCGAAATTAGTTGGAGGTATATAGTATAATTATTTAGTGAGATACGAATGTAAAAGGGTATATGTTTATAATTATTTTATTTTTATGGGGCATTTGTCAAGTTTCCCCTAAATTGTATGAATCAATATTTTAAAAAATATTTTAATTATGTTAATAACAGAACGATTTCATTTATAATATTTTTCTTATAATTTTAAGTAATCAATAAAGATCGACACAGGAAATACTTACTTGCTATATATATTTACCTTTTTATTCGTGGCATAGCACTGACAAGTTAAAAGAAACTAGATGTATAATGGCCGTGCTGCTGACAGTACTTTTTACATGTTTGAATCAAAATTATATCTATGCATGAAAGGGAAACTTGTTGATCTTAAAAGGACAAAAATGAAATTATGAATTTGATGGCAATGATTGATGTTGCAATCGGAAATAATAAGCAAAAAATGAAAAAAACTTATAGGAACATTGAAGAGGAGCCTAATTAATTAAACAGGGAATTTCCGTTAAATAGCTACTCCTTCTGTGGTATAAGGCGGCACAAAATGTATTTCAAACTTCAGTAGATGAATATATCCAAGATTCAATAGACGTCACTGTCCACCCAAAATAGGGTCCAATTTCTTCCATCATTTGGTTTTTACCTATCTGCAACAAAAATAGATACCCTTTGAGTGCATATAGTCGTGTAAATGTGGTTGATGAACAGCACGTATACTTTCCTAAAAATTTCAAAGAGCACAACTTTAATAGGTTCAAGGCAAATCTGAATTTGTACCAATACGCACAAATTTCAAAGAGCACAACTTTATGAGATTTATGATCAAGATTAAGATAATTATCAAATTCTAGCATATAGTTACTGTTGAAATATATCAACAATCCAACACGCACACATTTGAAAAAAATCACCGTTATTGTCGGCCAAGAGCAAGCTTCAACTCCAGCACTAAATTCTTTTCTCCAACACAAAAATAGTCAAGCAAATCAGTAAACAAAACCCTTGTACATAACTACATATTGTTAACAGAAATGAGGAACAAAATTTTGACAAAACATCAAGGTGTATTATCTGTGAAGTGGAGAAAAGAACATAGCAATTGTTTTTTTGTTAAAGTTATAGAGAACAAAGAGAATTAAGTAAACGTGGAGATCAGAGAACAAAGAGAAGAAGAATATGTGGACTGTGGTGTCTCAAGAGTTAAAAGCCACGTTGATGGCTCATTATGCTCTAAATTAGCTAATAATACCAATATGCCCTCAAATGTGAATTTATTCCCAAGAAACTGACACCTTACCCACACTTCTAATATAGTAGAAAGAATGTTAAAAGATCCAGAAAAAGATGTTACAAGCGAAAAATAAAAAAATCTTTTTTTCCCAAAACCGAGGGGAAATAGCTGTTGATTTAACCGAGGGGAGTATGTACGAAAAAAAGAGAAAGTGTTTAAAACTTCATTAAATTTGATGTGAGTTATTAATTTTATTTTTAAGTCATTGACAATCTTAAAAATATTATTTTATTTGATTAACTCAATTTAAATACACCTTATCTTGCAACGCAAGTATATCTCTAAATTATCGCCAAATTTAATAGTGTTTCATCACTTCTTTCAAAAAATTTAATTAAAATTGTGATATTTCTACAAAAATTTGAGATCACCTTTTATGTCAGATTGTAAATCGAGATTATATCTCAGACTCTCAATAATTCAAAACGAAACAAATAATTTATGCGGTTTTTTTAATACTTCCTTAATTTAAAAAAAGAGAGAGTGCCACCGTGTTCAAGACCTCAACAACAGGCTCCTAAATGAAGTTCTCCATCGGAAAAACCTCTCTTCTTCACTCTCTCTACCGTCAAAATCATCAAATTCAGGTTATTACAATTTCAGGTTCATCGAATTACATGACTATGTCTCTGCTGCTACACAAATGTTATCCCCGATTTATCACAAATCGGTGGCTCACTACAGGAGCTGAACCGATTCGTTCAGAATTTGCTGGACCTAATGCTTACGAGCTTCTAGGTGTATCAGAAACAAGCTCCTTTGATGAAATAAAAAATTCTTTTCGTAAATTGGCTAAGGAGACTCATCCTGACCTTGCTCATTCCACGCACAATTCCTCTACTTCCAAGCGATTCGTTGAAATACTTGCTGCTTATGAGGTTATGCGTTTTCTGCCTTATCGTTTTCATTTTTCAGTGACGCTGTTCCTTTATCATATTCCTCATTATATTTTTCTGCATCAATTTACCGAGTTAAAATGGTGGTACAGGGGCCAAGTAAAATGAGATGGACGGAGTGCTTTCTTATTAGGATAAATATAGTTGTTGAATTGTTCTTCGTTTAATTCATCAATATGGAACATTTGCTATTAGCACAAACTGAGGATTTAAAATTTTGTATAGTAGAACATTGGATGTTTAGCTTTACCTATGTTTGCGAAGTATAGTTGGTTCCAAGTCTGGATAGAGGAGGCGAGTTGTGGAGGGGTTGAGTAAAAATTAGTTCAATTATGATGATTCATCTGAACATTAAATTCGTGAACAGAGCGGAGTGGATGCAGACGAGTCATATAATTGACCTGAACTAGTTCAATTTAGGATTGAGGAGTAAAAATAATTGGGATATGTAAGAGCCGCAATTTCAATTTTGATTGACAGTTTAATTGAACTTAGAGAAATATGCATATGCTTTGTGGCAGGCTTTTTCGTTCTTAGTTAGTGACTTAGTTCAATAAATTATTATCGTAGACGTCCTCTTGAATTTCTGAATTACTACAAAAGTTGTATGTCACACATATACATGGTAAAAGTAATAATTTTTAATGTACTAGAGACGTACAGTATTTACTTGGATAACCAATGGAATGCAGATTCTATCCGATTCTGAGAGGAGAGCGCATTATGATGAGTATCTCTCATTTCGGAAAGCACTTGTTCATATGCATTCTAGACAAGGTTCTAAAATGTGCATGTATGAAGCATATAGCACGGCAATCAAGGAGATGGAAGTTGTTGAATGGTTGAGGTGGTATAGACAAACAATAAACGACATATTGGCTGAAAAAAGGGTAGTATCTGGATCAGGCTATTTGGATGCACTGGAAAGAGATTTCTATTCAGCATTACATTTAGCATTCTATGGCCCTGAGATTGAGTCAGATCTCCTTCCTGAGTTTTTTGAAGCTGAGGAGCGATCAGTATACGAAACAGCTGAGGTTCTGCACCTGGTTTCTGGGCGAGATCTTTTTGGGATGGTCTGTTTAGCAAAAAATGTCCCTGAACTGTCACATGCTTCTATGGAGAGACTGGCATCCTTAGAAGCAGACTTGTGTCATTCCCTTGAAAATATCCCCATTAAAATGCATTCGGAGACGGCTGCTGCTGTTTCTGATCAAAAGCAATTGAGAAGTTCCAATTACCATACATCAGATGCATACAGAGACTTAGAATTGCATGTTGGAGGGAGGCTTGTTGCTATGGCAACAAGAGTTCCACCTAGGAGTAGATATAATGGGATACAGAATGAAGGTTTTGATGACTGCATTCATGTTTACCTCAGTTCACATGAAGTCCAAAGATTTCCCAAAAGTAACTTAATGGACTTCGGATTGAAGTCTGCCATTCCACTGGGAATGATAACAGGGTTGGGGACCAGTCCTGAAGAAGGTTCTTGCGATGTTTACGACAACAATGGTGTGAAAACCCATGAGATTATGAAGCATCGAACATTGCTGGTGAGTGTTATATTGTCTACTTTTCTCTTTAGCTTTTTCCCTGTCAAATATCCTTCATTAGATAAAGAAGGGAGCGCAAGGGCGAGTTGGTGCAGAGAGCAAAACCTTCTCTTTTCCTATATGCCAGGTGCTTATGAGAAGTAGCTGTAAATATTTTCATAAGGTTGCAAGTATCGTTCTAAGGTCACTGTCTGAATGCAATAAAAAATAATTATTGGGTTGCTTTTTGATAAGCAAGCTTAGAATTCTTATGGTTGGTATTGGATATGTCTTAGTCATGTTAATATATTTACTTTTGGTGCTACTCTTTTTAAGAGTCTTTTAGCCTTATTAACGGTTCTTATGCCAACTATAGGAACTTCTAATACCTTTCATTTTTATTGTTATTTTGTGTAGTGTTAACTTGAGATGAATTTAAACGGGGAACGTGGTTAGTGAGGATTCAAATAGCTGTCTCCAACTTGCTTGGGACTGAGGCATACTAGTTGTTTATTTACTTTTTTATAAGCAGTCCTCAGATTGCTGTTACTATGATTTTTGGCGGTTGGACTTTAATTTGTTGGTTGGTCTTGAAGTATACTTTACTTGCAACTATGGAATTTTTTTCTTGGAATGGATGTCTGTTTGGCTTAAAGAATCATATTCATAATTTCCACTTTAATTTGCGTCAGAATTTTTTTTTCAGGTAAGACACATGCACTGGTATCAATTAGGAGATGAAGTATTAACCTGTGAGTGCAGATGCAGCAAAGCTAAGCTACCTCCGAGCAAGTAAAGTCCATAACATAACCTTTTGAGTCAATACTCATCAAGAGTGCTAACTATTCTTTTCCTAGATTTTCGTCAAACTATCATGACGTTAGTGCCTATTCACTAGTTACAATGTAAGGTGAAGAGGTGGGCCTAGAGAGAATCATATTATTGAGCTGGATTTAGTCTATCTGATTTTTATTGGATGGAAAAGAAAAATTGAAAAGGAATGACTTTGTTAACGGAAGTTATGGTTTACACATTTATTGATGTCTAGTCATCCACATTTCACTATGAGAAAAATTGTGGGTCATGGTCAGTATCTTCTTTCTACTTCTATCACTGTTGTTTTCCCTTCCCGTTCTCCCTCTCTTTTCATTTTTCGTTACTCTTTCTCAGAAGGTGGAATTATGAAAGCTTATGGCTAACACATGTTATCTTCAAAAAAAAAAAAAAACAAGCTTATGGTTAACTATTAGAAGACAAAAGGTTAGAGAGCTTATAGCTATTCTTATGCTAGTAATAATGGTTTATAGCATTTTTCAATGTCACTAAATGTCATAGTTGGTCTCCTTTCCATTTCTTATCACAAGGCTTTGCTCTTCCTGTGTTGGTAGATTTGGTGCTTGTTTGTTGAAAGTGTGGGAACTTCCGACTCCAGTGTCCACACATCAAGCTGATCAATTTTGTTAGATTTTCTTTAGATCAGATTCGTTAGTAGTTAAATGAATTTCCGGCACCTAGAGACACAAGTGGCTAAGTATTAAGTGGAACCGAAGATGATGCCATTGGATTGTGAATTTTCTTTGTCATTCATAACTTAGAAGCAGGAAATGCATAGAACATTGGGCTTAAAGTATTCATATCAGAATGTTTTCTAGTCAAACACTTTTTTTCTTGTTAGTAATACAAGATATACGTCTCTCATTGTCTCTCAGGTTTTTTGCTTATTGATGTTATTAGTAATGATTTTTCTCTCCAACAGATTCTGGCTATTTGAACCTCGGTGTGGCATGCATGACATTGGAGGTTGGTATGTGGAGACATTTGGCAGAGATAAGAAAGGCCGAAATGTGCCATCTCAGAGGTATTGGGATGGCTTGGAGGCAAATGATCACTTTGAGAAGTAAGTATCTGGTGTAGAAGCCTCAAACATATGAAATTGAAATTCTCCACCCATTTAATGATAAATCTATGTATTCTGGTACTCTGGCAGAATTTTTTAAGGTATTTTATGAATTGTGCTGTTAACTATGCTTTGATGCTTTGCATCTTGATAAATTAATCTAACTTTACAATGCAGGATGTGTTTGCACCCTGCTTGAAAAGATTAATGTGAAATCTTTTTTTACTTCTAAGGAGCCTAGCCGAAGCCACTTGGATCGGTTATCGTTCTCATTATTTCCCATGAATATGGAATATCTCCAACTGTAATATGGAAGTTTTGATGTTGCATAAACGAATTGCCATATGAAAATTTATAGGAATATCCCATTAGCTTGAAAGCAATAATGTTTGATGTGCAGATATATTCTTGAATGTGCAGGAGATTACATCCAGCAATGTACTTGCTTGCTCTTGCCTACAGGACTCTAGATATTGAACATTCAAGGAGAAATAAACAAAGAATGAAGGATCTTATGGAGTTGAACTTATCTAGAATTTTCAGCTGGTGCAAGAGACTAGTACGCTAAGGCCTAGTGACATTCAGCTCTATCATAATATCCTTGTTCAGCCTCGGAAGTTATTAGGAAACTGTACTTTTTTTGATAAAGGTAACAAATCTATATTCCATTAGCACAAAGGCAGTGTTAAAAGCCATCTTTACAATTCTCAAAAAGAGCTGATGAAACAGGTGATTCACACTTCTTAAAGAATCCTCATATAAGCTAGGGTGTTGATTAGGATGGCTCGTGGATTGATGAGTCAAACACCATGAGGCTTGAATACAACATATTTTTTTCTTATATGCTGCCATTGATTCACCAAGCACTTTGATGCAGCTTAAACTCTTTTAACTGCCAATGAGATTGCTGTGCTGCTGCATTTCCCGGTCTCTTATTTTTGGTGCCATGACCTAATGTGATAGTATGTAAGGTGACTCCAGTCAGCTCACTAAGGAAGTTGACCTCAGTATTCCTTCACAGTCTATATTGGTTACTGGATGGAGTAAATTGAATTGCTGAAGCACCATCAAGAATGATACCCCGTTAGTGTGAAGAACTACAGCTTAATGCCTTTGGCTTGGTCTTCGGTGACACAACGTAATGTTAAACTATGCTGATCCTCATATCTTGAAAGCCATATTTGGATCATAACATTATGTCCCTGAAAAGGCATTTGATGCCTTATTGTAGAAACCGAGTAACACCTCAAGCCAAAGGAGTGAAGCATTGAGATTTCGGGGAGAAGCAAATGTGTTAACATAGATGACAGCTATTACAATTCTCGGGTGCTGGCTTGCATTGCAGGGAGAATTTTGGTCAGATGATTGATGTGCACTTGCTGTATACTCACTATGATTCTTGTACTTTTATTCTTGTCATACAGTTTAGCTGATATATAGAACATCAAATAGTTCTCTATGAAAAATAACACAGTAGTTAGTTACTGGTTTAGTATATCTGAGTTATATTACACAAATCTTGTAAACAGTTGACGACCATTTACAGTGGTTTTCTTAACATTTTATTTAAGTAGGTCTCCCATTTTCAATACTGCATCAGCTGGTGCCAAATCAGACAACTCCTTTGTGTAATTTCATAGTGGGATAAGTCTAATTACTTCACTCCCCTTCATATTATTCATTCAATAAAGTATTTCAATATATCTACCAACTTAGAATAACATTCAAATCAAATTTGAATTGCTCGGCTAGAACATTACTTTTTTCATTTTGTCCAATCGCAACTTGAGTGCTACCAGTTGCTCCAACCTTTGTTTATCAGGTGGTATTTCTGAATGAGGATACAAGATCTTATACCTCATTTTTCGATTTTTTTCGATCTCGTTCAAGATTTTTAATTCTGCAGCGAGATCATCAAATGCTTGAAAGACATTTGATTTATCCCCATCAGCTTGATCAACAACATGGGAATTATTTAATTTCCATTTAAAAAATTTATCAGTTATTTTTTTCGATACTAGTGTTGCCATAGGAGTATGGCTTTCCACTAGGTGAAAAGAGGAGAACAACAACATTTGCTTCTGTCAAAGCTGAAAATTCATTAATTTTCTTGAACAAACTCAGTTTCCTTTTTGAAAAAGTAACATAGCGTGCCTCTTTTGATTCAACAAACTTCATTTCGATCTTTTGCCTACCCTTACCCTTTTTTCTTTCCATTGGGAAAACAAAGACTTAAAAGAAGAAATTAAGCAAATGTTTTGGATAAATAATTAAGCCTGGAGAATTTTGAGAGAAATGTCCATGTAATTTATAGTTGGTGCATATCTTTGTTTGTCACGTCTAATTAATGTATTCAAATATGTGAATTTGTTAAGATAACACCTCTAATTAGTTGCATTTATTGTTACCTTGTCTTGCTTATGAAAGTTGTTAATTACTCCCTCCGTCCAATAATAGTTGTCTAATATATTAAAAATAGTTGTTCAATATACTAAAAATAGTTGTCCAGTTTAGAAAATCATGAGATAATATATCTTTTGTGTCTATTTTACCCTTGCTTTTAAATATTATTTATGATCTAACACATTTCTCCGAGCTAGGGGTGTTCATGGTTTGGATAAAAACCGATTCAAACCGAAAAATCGAACCAAACCGATTAAATGAACCGATTTTATTTAGGGTTTGGTTTGGTTTGGTTTAGATTTTAAAAAAATCAATAGTATTTGGTTTGGTTATGGTTTTGTTCGAAAAAACCTGAAAAAATAACCGAACCAAATCGATAAATAATACACATAAATTTTATTATTATACATACATAATATTCTATTTTATAAACAATTTTAAAAATCTTATATATGTATTCATCAAAATTTATTTATAATTTACTTATGAAAGTAAAAATGTCCAAGGTAAGAACATCTATCTTATTGGTTTCATGTATATGAGTGTCTATGACAATTCTTTGTGGGACTAAAAATGTCAATGTCTCTTCCTTCTAGGACAAAACTAGTGAATTTTGAAGTTTTATTCATAGTAAATTCAATGATCGAAAGTTTTGTAATGTCAGTCATTCTAACTATTTTTCGTTTTGAATGGATTATTGTCACTTTTTTCACGTTTTGAATAAATTATTTCTTTTAATTTTATGTATATGGTTTAATAACCGAATAACCGAACCAAACCAAACCGATAAATATATATTATATTAGATTTGGTTTGGTTTTGATAATTTTAAAATCGATTAAGTTGGTTTGGTTTTGATTTTGACCAATAACCAACCCAAACCAACCCCGTGAACACCCCTACTCAAAGCAATAAATTTAATAAAGTCAAAAAATAAAATAGTAATATTACCCCTATTATTTATTATTTCTTAAAGGGTGCGCCAAGTTTAGTGGACAACTATTGTTGGATAGAGGAAGTAGTAATTGCATCTTCATAGCCACTATCTGCTCATAGTGATTAATTGAGGTTAGTTTTTCAAATGTTCAATATTATTATATTTAAATTAGATTTTATTGCAACACTTTATCTTAGTTTGACTTTGACAAATACTTATACAAAAGTACTACAATCAGTGGCGGACCCAGGATTTTCACGAAGTGGATTCAAGTTATAAAAAATAAAACTAAAATGTGGCAACAGGGATTCGAACTTGGGTTGGCTGGGAAAATTGAACTTTTCACCACTCAGCCAAGGGTCACACTTGTGTTAGTGGTGGGGTCAAAAGTTAATATATACATATAAATTTTAAAAAATTGATTAAATATACATATATATACAGTGCTATTTTTCAACGAATTGGGTTCATATGAACCCACTTGAACCACTGTAGGTTCGCCCCCGACTACAATTGATAAGAAAACTATGGATCATCCCCAACAAATTAGTTCGGAGAATTGTCAAGGTAAAATATTAATGTTAATATTCATAACTATATCAAGTTGTAAAACATTTATTTTTGAATACAGATGCAACTGAAAAATCAAGCAAAGCGGTTAAAGTGATGTATGAAAATATTCTGCAATAGCGAATTACATATTTCAGAAAGAAACAAGAACACTTGAAAAAATATATACACAGAGGAATTTCACTAGATCAATCGTACAAATAATGACGAGACATTCTCCATGTATTGGTTTCAATGTAATAGGGAGATGAAATAATTTTTGATTAAAGAATATATTCTCTAAAACTCAATCTAATAACAAATGATACGACGTTGTCATACTAACAATTCCCCCATTTAGTGCAATGGAAATAATTCTTTTTTTAATAGAGCATGTATCATTTCAAATGAAGAGATAATGATACGGTTGGATGATATAATGATATAATTAATCTACAAGAATAATTATTCTAACACATATTTTTAATCCTCGCGCAAAGCGCGGCCATGTTCTCTAGTAAATAAATAAATTAGAAAGTGGAGGGTTAAATAGGGTGGAGTAGAATTTTTATTTTTTAAAATAAAATTAAATAATATCATTTTTTTGGGGGGGGGGGGGGGATGGGGGTGAGGGTGAAGTATGATTTTTTTTTAATAAAAAACTAAAAGAAAATTTTAAAAATAAAAGGATGAGGGATTGTCCGGGGGTGGGGGTGGGGAGAAGTAGGGGGTTACGGGGGAGGAGGTAGTGGAGTGTGGTACTTTTATCTTTTTAAAAAATAATTTTTTTTGGTGATATTAATACTTTAATCTTTAATTTTTAATTAATACTATAGTTTATTATTTACTTTTTGTCAAGGTAAAATATTTTATCCATGTAAAATGCAATGTGTTAAGGTTTTTTCCAAAAAAAGAGAGAGTGTATTACACACACCACTGGAGTGTGTTTCTCAAACTAATAAGTGATAGTTTATGTATGAAACTCACACCCTCAATAGTTTAAATATGAAACTAAAAATAAATAAATAATTTAGGTGTGTTTTTGACACTTATCTCTTAGTTTTTAAGTTTTTCACTTTTAAGTCATATACGTAACTCTAGGGTCATTGACACTAAATTCACATGATGCATATATTATAGGGAAAATTGTATATAATAGCAAACTATTAATTCAAATTAAATGTTATAAATATAGTTTGATTTAATTGTACCTCATAGCAAACTATTGCTATTTCACCTCTCTTCTGCTGAATCTCGCTCGCCACTCTTGTTCTCTCCCTCGCCTCTCTCGTTTTTTATACAAACGCAAGTGTATAAAGTGCGTTTATGTTTGTATAAAGCGCGAGAAAATTGTATATATACATATATTTTCGTTCCCCTCTCTCCCCTCTCCCAGATCTCGCTCTGTCACTCGCCTCTCTCACTTTATACAAAAAACGCAAATTGTATAAAATGCGTTTGTGTTTGTATAAAGCGGGAGAAAATTGTATATATACATATATTTTCGTTCCCCTCTCTTCCCTCTCCCAAATCTCGCTCTCCACTCTCCCAGATTTTGCTCTCTCACTTTATACAAAAATGCAAATGTATAAAATGCGTGAAAATTGTATATATACATATATTTTCGTTCCCCTCTCTCCCCTCTCCCATATCTCGCTCACCACTCTCCCAAATCTCGCTCGCTCACTCGCCTCTCTCACTTTATACAATTGATCTTTTTGTATATGTACACCAAAGCAGATTATACAACTGTTTTCTTTTGTATATGTATAGTGAAATATACATATTTATGTTTGCTATGGAGCGTAAATATGCAAACTTTGCTATAAC